ATCCAAGTATGTATCCCTTGTAACATTCGTCTCTCTCTCTCTCTCTCTCCATCTCTCTCTAGTCCCTACCTCCTCTTAAGTTCATGGAATCCCAATTGAAGCCATGCACATCTTCAACATATCAGTTTGTACAACCATAGTAAACATATAAACTAGATTCTTTGTACCAAGAATTTTCTTCACATTTAGTGTACCATCAGTTACCAGTTCTCGTATGAAATTATATCACATCTGTATGTGTTTCGTTCAGCTGTGAAACACTGGATTTTTCACGAGATGTACTGCACTTTGATTGTCACAGTGGAGAACACAGTCTTGTTGTTTATTCCCAGTTTTGACCAAAAGTTATTCAACCATATCAACTATTTGCTTGCTTCTGAAATGGTCGTATATTATGCCTCCTTAGTTGAGAGTGCAACACTTTTCTGAAGTATGGACATCCAAATCACTATTGTACCTACGAGAGTAAAAACATACCCAATAGTTCTTTTTCCCGAATCCACACATCCCCCTAAATCAGCATCAGCGAATCCTTCCAAAATCACTTTATTTCTGCTAAAACATAAATCAACTTCAGAAGTACCTTTTAAGTAATGCAACAACCACTGGACTCCTTCCTAATGCTCTTTACTCGAATTTGACATAAATTTGCTCATAACTCCCACTGCATGTGCAATGTTCGGTCTGGTACACACCATAGCGTACATCAAGCTACCAACTGCTAATGTATATGGGATTTTGGCCATTTCTTTTTTGTCTTCATCCGTCTTTAGGGACTGTTTCTTGGAAAGTTATATCTAACTTCCCAAAGGTGTACTTCTTGGTTTTGCATCAATCATGTTGAACTTCTCTAGAACCTTTTGGATATACTTCTGTTGTGAAAGCTTCAAAGTTCCAACAACTTTGTCTCTAACTATGCTCATCCCGAGAATTTGTTTGGCAGCTCCCAAGTCCTTCATCTCAAACTCTCTGAAGAGTTGCTGCTTCAGTTTGTTGGTGTCATGTATGTATGATCCAGCAACCAACATATCATCAACATATAATAATAGAATAATTTAAGAGGACCTAAAATTCTTCAGATAACAACAATGGTCCATCTCACATCTCTTCCACCCATTTTTGTGCATGAAGTTGTCAATTTTTAAATACCACTGCCTTGGGGCTTGTTTTCTAACTAATATTAGGTTTCGATTTCTGAGTCTTTATCTTCTTCAAAACTCCCACCGAATTTAGTATTTACAATCTCTTTAACATTCCCACTATTTTGTGAGCCTTCATCTGTTTCATGTTGTAAAACATCAACATCTCTTAATTCGTCAAACACCATCTTCTGACTCTATTTGTTTTTTCTTTGAGTTGTTGATAGATCATCTTTATAGAGGGCGTCTTCATTAAAAGTGACATCTCTGCTTCTGATAACTTTCATGGTTTGGTTGTCCTAGCATCTATAGCCCATATCATCTAACTTGTACCCGATAAAGATGCACGTCTTAGCTTTGGCTTCAAGTTTGTCTTTTTTGCATCTTTAACCTTGACATAAGCATTAAAACCAAATACTTTAAGGTGAGAGAGATACTTCCCTTTTCTGCCATTCCTCTTCTGGAATTTAAAATCTAATGGGGACGGAGGGTCCATGACTTTAAGGTAACTAGTTGTGTTCACTGCGTCTGCCCATCATGTAACCACATGCTTTTAACTCTCTCATTTAATGTTATGTCCATCCTCTCCACAACATTTTTGCTAAGGTGTTTCTGGCATAGTCATCAACATTCTGAATCCATGTTCTGCATAGTAATCGATAAACACCTTATTGTTGTATTCACCACCTGTAACACCCCGTTTCCAAGTCAAACCCTAAAATCTAAAGATTTGTTTCAAGTATTATTTTATTCCGATATACGCATATTTTTTTTAAATAAAGAGCTTAGTGAAAAAGTGTGTAATTGGCATTATAATTGGTTTTGGAGGTCTAAAGAGTGCTTTCGAGATTCGTATTGGAGAGAATATTTGAACATACAACTAAAGGAGAATTAATTGGGCTCGTTTTGTAGTTTTTGAGCTTATATTGAAATTATTTCGTAGAGGAGGGACTATTTGGGTAAATTTGGATGTAATTGTTGGATTAGTGTCTAAGCTAGTAACCATATTTGGTAAATACTTAACCCGGTTGTGCATGGTCCTTTTAGGTTGCCTTCAAACCTGGCAATGGAATAAGATAATTGTTGGAGAGAGAAGAATGATTTATTAATTTAGTACTTGGTTAGTAAATTAATTTGAAATCAAGATAAATGATTTATTGATGTATTATGGATATAATATATATTAGAAATCACATTGTTTAATTAATATTTAATCAGAAATTAATTTGGAATTAATTTTAGGATTAAAGGAATTAATTGAAACTGCAGGGACTAAAGGTGACAATGTTCAAAAGTTGAGCATTGAAGCATTCTAGAACCTCCCTTAGAGGTGGGGAACGAAATCTAGAGTTTCCTAGGGTTTCCTTGGGATCTAAGGGTGCCTTGGAAGCCTTAGGGAGGAAGTTAAGGGATTAGGGTTATCTAAGATTCATCTGTCTTATCCTAAACCTTCCTTATCACCTATATAAACCCTCATAGGGTTGGATTTCGTCCAAGGCACTCCAAGAGAGGCTTAGAGCCGAATTTTCCACTTCTCTTCTCTCTCCATAGTAATCCTTTGTTGCTAGGTTTGTTTGTGAGCCATTAGAGGCGCGACACTTGTGGCGCTTGCTTTCAAAGACAAGAAGATTCAAGATTTAAGTTGTTATTACAATATAACAACAAGAGGTATGTATTTCATCTTTCTTTGTGAATTTCGAAATCCCTAGAAGCTTGTTAGGGTTCTTCACATGTTCATAGTGTTGTATAACTAATAGTGATAACATAGATCCAACTCTAGGGTTGCATGCACACATAGGATTGTTTGTATAAAACTCATCAGTGGTATCAAAGCCATTGGTTTTTGTTTTCAATTAGCATTATACAAATGTATGAACTTGACAAATTAGGGTTTATGGCCAATAAACCCTCGGAGGCATGAATTTTCGAAATTAGGGTTCTTGAACCCTGATTTACGAAATTTGGTTAGGGTTTCCCAAACCCTTTCCATAGCCTCCAAGATTTTGAAATTGGTTAGGGTTTCCCAAACCTTTTCCTTAGCCTCCAAGTTTTCGAATTCTAGGGTTATCCAACCCTTGAATTTCGAAATTTGCCTCCTTCCCCAAGATAAGATCCTATTTTTTAGGGATTTGGATAAATGTCATATCTTGTAATTATCTTTTAAGTGTTTAAATTTGGTAATTAAAGATTTTGAATTATCCCATCCCATAATTTCGAATTTTAGGAGATTTAAGGGATTAGGTTAAATTAATTGTTTAATTTAAAAGATATCCTTACCAAAATAGAAGATAATTGTCAAATTATTTAGATAATCATTGCCTTATGTGATAAACTTGATTTATTTGATTTATTTGATATATTATCTTGCAAGAAATTGAATTAGGTCATATTTAGATAATTAATAATTAATTGGTTAATTATTAATATTTGTAATTTGATCAAGAATGTTCTTGATTATGTTTTGAAAAGTTTCAAAACTTGCCCTCAAGTTTTGGAATTTATATTTTGATTAAAAGTTTAACTTTAAAATGTTAAATTCTAAACCCTAGTTTTCAAAAGTTCAAATTTCACCCTTTTGGTTTTATTAAGTTAATTAAAAGTATAATTAAAAGAAAGTTAATAAATCCGTCATCATTTGGTTTATATTTGATTAAATTAAAAGTGTAATTTATAAAATTAAACCACCTAGTATTTTAAAAGTATAAAATACACCCTTATACTATGTATAAATTAAAAGTCTAATATTATATATGTATAACTTAAATGCTAGTGTTACCGTTAGTATGTCTCATTCACGAAGCCGATCTATAAGGGGGTATAAGGTTATGGCCTATAAAATGGACGTTAAATGGGTGTCTACTCTCACTCACCGCTTCCTTGATTGGCGGAGGGTCGTTAGCCGAACGGGTAGGATAAGGAAAACACTCTCCTCATTAAAAGTATAACAAAAAATAAAGTAGTTAAATGTTTTAAAAAATTTCCAATCTTAGTTACTTTAGGCAAAAATGAATTGATGCAATTCCATGAAATTAGACTTTGTACCCTTGCTAAGACGTTAGTGGAGCGTGTGTGGTTAACCAGCACACTAATTGGGTTGTATGCAAAGGTGGAAAAGGGTGACTCGATGGCTGTCATAGTTTGATGGAGCTTGTGTGGTTAACCGACACATCAAATGGGTGACTGTAACATTGGGGGCACCATGTATATTTGCATGGTTATTTACACCCTGTTTTGTGATCCTCGGCATCCCATTCACAAATCGAGGTGCATATCGAGATTTAAACATGCCATTGAAAAGTTCAATGAATCTCAAAAGATCTAGGAGTTTTCAATACATTTAAAACTTAAATTCCTTTTTCGTTTTTCATGGTGTAAAAGTAGTGAATCGTCATTCACTTACCTTCAAATGTTCTGCAAGTTGGATTACGGCATCCCTCTTCCAATTTGTAGGATGTTGTGTTGAATCCTAGCCTTAATATCTCATTTGGGTGTTTTATTAAGGACTCAATCAACTAAACTTAAATTTTCTCTCGTTTCATATATGTCAAAGTTTGACAACTATGGTCTTCCTAAATCCGTTGGAAAAAGGTTTTCCACATGAAGATGATGTTCCACGATTGGATTGTAGAAATGGAAATCATGCTTCATTTCTCCACCTCCTCCAATAATTCCCCCTGACCCATGTGTTTAAAAACTTGAGAAGTTCAAGGTCACTCAAACCCTATTGGCAATAAGACACAAAGATGGAAAGTCTGTGTGTACATACGTCTTAAAGATGAAGTCACACATT